CCCCAAAACCCCAAAACCCCAAAACCCCAAAACCCCATATGTTAAATTTCAGATAGAATAGATAAAATTTAAATGGAAAAGGCTAATCTTTACAGAAACAAAAGAAGAAATGTAAGTAAAGTCATCAGAATCAGATCCTAACCAGGTTGATCTAGAGTTACTTTAAGAAAGCAAGAAGATATTCTAGAAGCTATAGCAAAGAAGCAAGTACTACAAATGAGTGCTCTCCTCTGATAGAGAAGCTAGAAGGCTTCAATTTTGAGAATAGCACAATAGTCAAATGAAATCATTGTGGCATTTGTTCAACTTCAGATGGATGCTGAGTTTGTCAGGATGAGTGTAATAATAATCCATGTTGGATGAACACTGAAAAAGAGTGATCCCTGAACAAGCCTTCCAACATGATCTTTGTTACTAAGAAAGAGGAGTTATTAGTAAGTATTCTCATATTCCAGTATTTTGACAATTTTCTTTCAAAAATTTCAGTCACTTTTTGACAGTCCTAATTCTTAATTTAGTAAAACTATGATCAATTACTGAATGCTCTCTGAACTTGCTCTCCGAATCAATGAGAAGACCCCAGACTTTTATCAGAAGGCAAGAGCAAGACTTTTGGTTTGAAGGTATTTGCTCAAAATGTATGGTTTAGCTTTTCCAAAAATGAATCAACTGATGTATTACAAAAACAAGATAAATTTGGGAAGAAATCATCCTCCAATGTACTCAAGTAATCTTGATACTTCTGACTTTCTAGCTACTGATTATCGGAGATACTGCCTATCCTTGTATGGAAGATTTGATGCTATCTGGATAAACCTTTGTCCAGATTTCAGTGAAAAATTTGACATAAAAGTCCCATCGACTGGTCTGAAGAGCAACTCAGAAAGCAATCTTGGCGAAATTTCTGAAGAGAGGAAGATAGATCTTCATCCTTCTCTCATTAACAGCCATGAACATTGGACTTTTGAGGAGATAAAGTCACTCCCTATTAAAGAAATAGCAGAGACCCAATGTTTCCTCTTTATGTGGGTCGGCAGTGGAGAGTATCTTGAGAAAGGAAGAGATCTCTTAAAGCACTGGGGCTTCAGAAGATGAGAAGACATTGTCTGGATAAAGACAAGGAAACCTTCAAACTTAGGATCTTCTGTGCAGAACAATGATGAGATCATCTATGACAACCCAGATAGAGTCTTCAAAAGGACCAAAGAGCATTGCCTTGTTGGAATAAAGGGGACTGTGAGAAGGGTTAGTGATACTCACCTTATTCACACTAATATTGACACAGATGTTGTCATTGGTATTCTAATTGTCCTAACTTATAGATGAAGAGCCTAATTGTTTCTGGAGCAATGAAAAGCCTTCTGAATTGTTTGATATCATTGAAAGATTTAGTCTTGGCAGAAAGAAGATCCAGATATTCGGATCCAAAAATACCATTCGAAAGGGATGGTTGACCACTATTCACAAAGATCTTACCAAAAACTTTAGTGATATCCACGACTCTACATACAACAAGGACAAGTATGATAGCTTCTTCGATACAGATGTGGATTACAATACTCTTGATGATCACCAAGGAGGGAGGTACACAGGAACAACCAAAGAGATAGAAGAGCTTCGCCCCAAAACACCAGCTACTCAAAAATGCTCAACAAATCAAAAATAACAAGTTCAAGTTGGGTTAAGAAAAAGGGGTTTTGGGGTTTTGGGGTTTTGGGGTTTTGGGG